GTCGCAAATTGGAGCTTCTATGGCCGGCTGGATCTTCTCTGGTATACTATCCCTTTATTTCGGCCAATTTCTACTATTTTTCCAGCGATCCGCGGAGCCTGGTAGAGGCTACAAAAGTCGCTGTACTTAGATTTTTGTGTCATCACTAATAATTCTTCTCTGTATTCTAACAAACTAGTTGATTTCCCCTTTGCTACGCCGATGACTAGAATACAATGTTTTCGTTGAAAAAACCCTCTGTACTGTGATTCTTATGTGAAATGTGGACAAACATTTATGTACGTGCGGCTCCAAGAAAGTAGACGCGCATCGTCTATTGGACCCAAGCGGTACTCGGCCTACACTTTCCATGTCTCCAAGCAGATCCTTCAGTGATAAAACCGTAACAAACAGACAGTATCCAATCGGCGGCTGTTGGACACTGTCTGGCCAATTGGATACTGCCTTGTCGCTTTTTTACGATTTTGCCACCGGAGGATCTAGCTGCTTAGATATTACTCAGTGTCCGCTTTCCTAGCATGAAGAACAACTATCCCGTCAAAGTTGGAGACGCTGTTGTTCTCTGCATTTGTGGCTGGAAACCACTTGATGTCAATGTCGACATACCCCGCCTTCTCAAACACCTCTCTCATGAAGTTTCTGTCTATAGGAAGGGTGAAGAATTCATAACCGCCGACGGAATAGAAGGTCTGGTTGGTGACTCCGGCGAGAACGAACGTGCCGCCCGGCTTCAGGAGGCGGGTGATGCGGCGCACAGCAGCCGAGTAGGACTCCCGGTCAGGACACGCTGCCTCCAGGCACAGGGTCGTGGTCAACACGTCAAACTGCAGACGATATGTGGATAATAATTCATGAATGAATGGGTGGTTGTGTTTGCATGTGAATGGGTGAGTGAGTGAGTGAGTGAGTGAGTGAGTGAGTGAGTGAGTGAGTGAGTGAGTGAGTGAGTGAGTGAGTGAGTGAGTGAGAGAGAATGGATGTGTGTGTGTGTGTGTGTGTGTGTGTGTGTGGATCGATTTATGAATGGGTGGATGGATGGGTTGGTTGTGGATGGATGGATAATAAATGAAGACCTTTATTGTCCACTGGACATGTTTGTATATGTACAGTACAGGTCACAACGAAAGACATACATATCTATACAATACTCATATCAAGCTCTGTTTATTCAAATCGCATATAATTTATATAGAAGCGTACGCATTTTGGCTATTGCTTATTCAAGAAAGTTGGCAATAATTAGGACAAAAATACTCCAATAATCACCTGCTGATATTGCCGAGGAGCGAAAGGGTCGTCCTTGGTGACGTCACAGGGAATGACCTCCTTAATAGCCTTCCTGAGACGGGACTGCACGGCTTCCCACGAGGAGCTGTGTATGTCAAGGTAAAGAAGACGGACAAGAATGTGATCAACACGACAAACCCCTTGAAGTTCGTCACAGAAAACAAGACCACTGACATCTGTATCTGTGTACTAGTAACCGGTATTACCTAGCCTCTTCCAGGCTTCGGGTGGCGGCTGGAAAGAGTGGAAATCGGCGCAATAGAGAGATAACATACCTCTCTATTTCGCCGATTTCTGCTCTTTCCAGCCGCCACCCGAAGCCTGATAGAGGCTACTTTTTCTCTCCTTTTAGCAGTTTTTTTAATATATCGCCAATTCTTGTATCGTGCCTTACAAAACAACCAGTTAACATACCTGTCTTCCTCGAGATCAGCTACAAACGTGAAGAACGGAGTCCAGTCGTGCATGTCTGGGTCCTCCTTCACCCATTTCTCAATCTCAGCTCGGTTATCCTGGAAGGAAAGACGTAGCTTGTATGAAAGTATCAAATATGCTCAAAAATGGCAGTAAATCTCAATATCAGGCAGATATCCTCCCGAATATTTTTTCATGAAAGTTCATCTGTGTTGGTAGTAATCATAGTAAAACGCAAATGTCTGTAACTCTCGCGAGATTACGTTTTGAAGCGTATGGCCTGATGAAGGCGACAGTGGTCGCTGAAAATTTGATCCCTGTGTGACTTTGTGTTGGAATAAAGTTCAAAGTTTTACCAGAAAGTTTGTTTTGCCGGTCTGAAGTTGCAATATGCCTTGAACATTTCCCCTGCCCGGCCCGGTCAACTCCTTTGGTACTCATACGTATTAGACGCGTAGAGACTAATGTGCTATGGACAAAGGTACTGACCGCATAGAACGTACTGGTACCTGTGTATACTCTGCGCAGACGATCTCCGTGCAGAACTTACTGGCACTCATCAGCTGGTAGATAGTCGGGCCGCTCCCCACGTCAAGCAGACGGCTTCCTGGGCTCACTCGGCCTACGCAGCATTTCGCAGCCAATGAAATTGAAAGTGATAATCATGGCGATATGGTCAAGAACAGACTCGAATGGAAGGAAAAAGTTATGGCCTTATGTCTCGCAAGAGGAGAAGAGGATAAGTAGTAAGTAGATATTAGATTGTGAAAGTACAAGGCTTTCTCCCTTTCTTCGACTGTACCTAAGTTACAGGGAAAAGTCTTGTCCAGGTTTCAAATACAAACGGTGTCATTGAGGCGGCAAGAAATTCTTCAGGGCCTACTAGTCTAGCGAATATAGTGGGGAAAATGAAGTCTCACCAGCGTTGAAAATCTCGTGGAATTGTTTAAGAAACCAGGATAGTAGAGTTCCTTCGTCATCGTGGCCTGCTGGAGTTACACAAAACTGCGCCAAGTATGTCTTTGCCCCAAAGGTTTTGTGATAGTCCGTGCCTTTTTGGATATGTGCGGCCATTTTCCCTCCCTTGATCTTTGCCCCAGATACTGTCCCTATGTATAATGGCCTTGACCTCAAGGCCATTGAGGAGGGGCCAGAAAATGCCCCCGCCATACTCTCCAAGCAGAGGTTTGGATTTTGGCGTATTTTTGGCCTGTTTTTAAGGATTTTTTGTTGGGCTTTTTTTTGCATTGGTATAATTTTTTTACGCCAACGTTGGTGCAAAACATATACCAATTTAAAAAAGAAAGTCCAATTAAAAAAAAAGCCCCAAAACAGGCCAAAAATAAGCTAGAACCCAAACCTCTGCTTGGTGAGTAACAGGCGTCCTGTTCAGGTTTCAAAGACAAACTGTGACAGTGAGAAGCAAGAAATACTTCAGCGCCTTCTAGTCTAGAGGATAGTGGGAAAATGAAGACTCACCAGACTGGAAAATCTTGTGGAATTCTTTAAGAATCAAGTTCGTGAAGTCTCCTTCGTCGTCGTGGCCCTCTGGAGCGACTAAATATTCCTCCAAAAACGCTTTTGTTGTCTCAAAGGTTCTGTGATAGTCTGAGCCCTTTTGGATCGGTGCGGCCATTTTCCCTCTAACTTTGAACTTTGCCCCTGACACTGACGCTTCCCTACATATGAGTCAATGACTTTGGATGCCTCATGGCCACAAGGAAGGCCCAGTAATTATTCCCACCATAGGTTTGTGTAAAAAAACACACATTTGAAAGGATGAAACATACACTTACCAGTAATTTCAAAGCTCCTCTCAACTAAATTGCTAAATGTGTCTACTGCCGTTAGTTGAAAAAGCCACCTTTCGACTCCGGAATTTTAAATACAGGCTGATTTGAGGCATTAAAACACACACACACACACACACACACACACACACACACACACACACACACACACACACACACACACACAAACAAATATATTCATTTATACACAGAAGCATGAAAGAGGCCATAACTTGAATACTGCGTTTAATATAGATACATATAAGATAGACATCGATATACAAATATGTAACAACATTTCACAGGACACTGCATGCAACAACAGGAATCTCAACCCAAGTACTGATTACTGACGAAGCATGACAGTTTAACTACTAGGATATACTTTACTGCTTACACATCATAAATTATAGAGAAAATTTCAGTACTAGTATATATTTTATAGTCTATATTGTATACATGTACTTCGTGAATTTTGTCTAAATATCTGTTTTCGTGCAGTGCAACAACTCCACAGAACTGCAGACCACGTGCATTTACAACTGAGAAAGTTCTTCTTAAGGTTCGGATTCCTTTTTAAGTAGCCTTTTTAAGTAGCCTTTAAACAATTGAATTTTCACTCTGCTTTTATGGTCCTCATACGTATTTCGTAAATTTTGCCTAAATATCTGTTTTCGTGCAGGGCAACAAATCCACTGAAGTGCAGACAACGTGCATTTACAACTGAGAAAATCCATCGTAAGGCCAGATCTATTTTTAATAGCCTTTCAATAAATGAGTTTTAATATAATCTGACCTTTATGGTCTTCTTTCGTATTTCGTAAATTTTGCCTAAATATCTGTTTTCGTGCAGTGCAACAAATCCACTGAAGTGCAATCCACGTACATTTACAACTGAGAAAATCCAAAGTCTTTTAGTCTGATTATATGGTCTTCATAAGTAATTTTTCAGCCTACAATATCTGTTTTCGTGGAAAGCAGCAACAACTTGCCAACTACACTAAACTGCAGACCACGTGTATTTGCAACTGAGTTTAAAATCCTTGCTCAGTGTCGAATTTATTTTTAATAGCCTCCAACGTATAATTATATGTATTTCGTAAATTTTGTCTGAATATCTGTTTTCTTGGAGGGAAACAACTCCACTTAACTGCAGACCACATGCATTTGGAACTGAGAAAATATTTTTATATATAGTAGCCTTTAATTGAGTTTCACACTGCCTTTAAGTAGATCCTAGGGAGGCAAAAGACAGTATCCATTGGCCAGACAGGGTCCAATACAATATTAATCTCCATACGTATTTCGTAAATTTTGCCTAAATATCTTCGTGGAGGGCAACAACTTGTCAACTATCATAAAAGTTCATCTGTGTTGGTAGCTACATGATTGTTGAAAGTTAAAACTGGGCCAATCTACTGAGGAAGACCAGAGTGACTAGTCGAAAGCTCTAGGAGAGAACATTCGATGCTACATGGCGCTAACAATGTTATTCTTTCATATCCCGTCTGTACAAGTCATCAAATAACATTATCCAATCTGTTTTCAAATCTGATGTAATATTCCGCAACAGATTCTTCCGCAATATCTGGGCCCGTCTGTACATATAGACATATTTTTTTACTGCTGTCATTGTGTGTACATTGTATTTTTATCTGTATGTTTTATATGGGCGAGTTATGCCTGAAATAAAGAAAGAACATTTCCCTATTGTCTTGTGTTGGACCAAAAGTTTTAACTGCAGATCGCGCGATTTCTGCGGCGTGCAGTCAGTCTCCTTCCTCCTCCGAGTCCCTCTCGTCCACCATGACGACCATGTCCGAGGTGAGGCCGGCCTGCGCGAGGGTTCCGTCGCGGCTGGAGTCGAAGCTCCGGCGGGGGAATGTGCTGCTGATGCCGTAGACAGACGGGTGGTAGCCCAGGGTCTGCATCCAGTCATACAGGAGCTGTGCGGAGCAACCAGGAAGCTTTTAAAATATTTTTTTCATTCCCTCAAGAATTCCCCAAGAGGTCCGGAGAACCCTGTCATGCCACCCGCGTCTTGTGCCCTTGGGAAAGACACTCAGGTGCATGTAAGTATGTCTTGTTCGTTCATGCGTTTGTCTGCGTTGGTGGCGGCATAAAAATATGTCTTGCAATAAATGTTGGAATAAAAAAGAATTCCCTCAGTACGCATATCGTACCTATGCACAGAAGCACGTATGTTTAAGGGCTTTGTACACGGAAGCACAGTTTCAACCCCAACCGATCGAGAACTGGAAACATGATTTGGTGGAGCAACGCTCGCAAATAAAACTAAAAGCTATCACACGTGGGCATGCACATGAAGGTCTATCTCGATAGAAAAGAAGTATTGATGCGCACCTGTACTGCAGTGTTGGTGTGAAATCTTCTTCGGTGGATTTTTCCGTTGGGGCATTTCAGTCCGACAGTCACGGTCTAAAAGTAGTGGAGAAAATGTTTTAAAATGGATTTGAAAAAAAAGAACAATGAATGGAAACAAAATATTCACGTTTTACCTATCTAAGACACAGCACTTTGTTAAACAGATCGCGTCTCAATGTACGTTGGAAGGAAAAATGGTACTGGTATCACCCTTCCCCTATCAAGAGCCCACGAAAGAACAACAACAAAATACTAGTAAACAAACATCGTAAGCTAAAAACATACCTCTGGTTCGCCAATAGCTGGTTCCTGTGGCAATGTGATCACCTACAAACGATAAAATAGTTTTACCGGGCGGTACCCAAAATAAAGAAAGATGCAACTTAGGTAGCTATTTGTATGGAATGGTTGACAAAAATGTGCTAAGAATGTGCAATATCAGACAGATTTCCTCATCCAGGATATTATTTTTTGTTTTGCTGCCCTGAAATTACACTGGATGCCTTTAAAACTGCCATCCTTACCCTCCTTGTTCTGGGTTTGGCCTCGGCAGTTTGCTGTGCAGGTTTGGGGATGGCGCTCTCCGGGAGTTTCCGCGCTACTGCTGCATCCTTGGCGCTCCCGGCCGCCTAATTAACACAATTAATTAATGCAGTCATTCCGTTGTTCAATTGTCATTTAATGACCAAAAATCTGCACATTTTTTTTTGTAAAACAATATGGAAGAATTGTTCACGTATGTATGTCATCTAAAACTAAGTAATTGTAGATTTACAATAGTTGTAGCAGATGTAGGGATAGACATGAATGCGCCTACGAAGTTCATTGTCATTGCCATTATTGACTGCAGGGGGATATGATGTAGCCTGGGTGCCATCCGTTTTCAAGTTAAGCTATAAAAAGTATAAAGTAGTTACCCCTATTATCTACATCATGGTTCAGTATAGTTCCATCCCCCATGATAGTTTTTTTTTGTCGGATTTGTAGTAACCCAGAAATAGAAAACAACCCCCCAAAAGCCACTGACAGTGTTCACAAAAATCGTCTGTAATTGTCATAATTTGGAGGCTTCAAATGTCAAATTTTCCCGCAGAAAGACACCCCCCGCCAGGGGGTATGACCCCTTTTCAATACCCACAACCCCCTGCGCGAACACCCCCTCCAAAACGAGGCTGTGCAACTGGGGGAGAGTGTCTTTCATTTCTGTCTTTTTCGTCAAAAAAAATTTAAAAAACCCTCCAGAAAAACTGTCCGCAATGGGGCGCAGCGACTACTGTTGCGTTTTAGGCTGCATGAACAAGCGGGCACAGGCGACGGCGGTCACGCTGTACCGCTTCCCAGACAACCCCCCCTCTCGTAAGAAGCTGTGGACGGCCAACGTAGCCGCCGCCCGTGGCCAACCCAACTGGACCCCGAAGAACTCCACTCGAATTTGCGCCGCGCACTTCGTCAGCGGGAAGAAAAGCAACAAGCCAGACGCCCCGAATTATGCTCCAACTCTCTTCGGCACCGACAACGTGGCCACTCCAATCGGAACGGCACGGAAACACAAACCAGGGACTCAGGTTTCTGCCAAGAAAACACACACGGTGAGTCTGTCAGGGGCCCCTTTTCTTTTGTTGAGGGGGGAGGTGGGCTGCTAGGGGGGCCATGTCCATGTCGTCTGACGAATTTTATTTTTCCTCGCGCACCACAACTGCTTGAGTCGTCATTACTAGTCAATGTCATGTACGTGTAGCTATGAGTTCTGTTCCACATAAGGTGGGTAAAATACTGAATGAGGAAGAACCAGGCATATGCATATTTCGCTTGGATAGGCGAAAATATAGGGGGTGAATTTATTTACTTGCGAATGCACCGCATCAAAACGTAGACATATGTGCCCTTCGCTGACGTATATGTCATGAATATGAACAAAAGAAGCATTTTCGTGAACACACATTTTTCAATTCACAATTAACATATAATAACAATTTGTTGCAATTAATTAGTGCGAAATACTGGCAGTCCTCAGTATTAAATAAAGAAAAAACAAGTTGGATGCCATTTGATGCGTTTGCATGCGGTGTGGGCAGGTGATGACGTCATGCTACTTGTAAGCCTTCAAGCTCCTATCACACAATATATCAGCTGGTCTTTACAATAAATTAAATGTATACAGAAGCGCAAAACTTCGATCATGATATCAAACTTTTTGAAAGGATAGCATCAAAAACATGGCATCACATGTCTAACTAGTAAAATGGTGTAAAATATTGTGAATTTGCAAAGTGCCTGTTTCTCCGACCTGTAGCCAATGATAGCAATAGTATTTTAGATTGAGTGAGGCTGCATTCAAAAATGATATCTTGCAAACATGGGTAGGACATTTTATTATTTCAGCCAATTTGATACTATTTTGCCAGTTTGATTCTTTCTTGCCGCCACCAAAAGATTTCTACTTGGATTTTGAATTTGACCTTGACTCTTCCCTTTTGAATCTTTCAGAAGAAAGTCAAGAGCGATGACCCAGAATGGACTCCACAAGGAAAGCAGGGGAAACAGGAGATGCCTCACTGGGAGGATGGTGAGTATGGATGTTTTTTATTCATTTCTCTCTTTTCTTTCTCAGAAAAGAACATTCTCAGAAAAGAACAAGAAATAGTCAAGCCTTCGAAGTACCAGAGTCCAGAGTTATCAAGGAAGGATTGAACTGTTCAAAAATCTATTTTGATACAAGATAACTTGAGGGAAAACTTCTCAATGTCATGAATAAAAAAAGACTTTTTTACACAACAAAGTGTTTTATTCAGGAGACATTTCGGTGACCGTCTGTCACCTTCCCCAGGGCAATTCTGACTGGTTCACACAGCACAGGTGTCGCTGCTCACAGATGCAATCCCAGTCAGAATTGCCCACTGAAACACTTACATAAAAAGAGTCTTTTTATTCTGGTAATTCACCAACCTGATGAAACGAATATTGGTTGTCGATATCGTTCTTCAGAAACAGGTACTACAAAGTGGACGGTAACAAAGAAAGAGGAGCCATTCTTTGCGGAGTCCCTGCCCACCATGGTGCCTCTGAGCCGACCAGGGTGCAGCAATTACAGCAACAGTGCCTCCCCTCCCTACGACCCATCCATGCACTCCCCCATCGGCATGGTAACAGACTACCCAAGCCTTCCGGCCGAAGACAACAGCCCTCTGCTTGTCGACATCACCGCAGGGAATGGTCACGCGGCCACGACCAGCTCGGCTGCTTTCGATGATGACCTTTCGCCTGTCGGTCACCTTAAGATAACCAACGTCGAGAGCTTAAGGACTGATGAAGAAATGGTCGACCTGTCCGTCGACTTTGACACAAACTCGGAACTCAACCGACACCGTCCAGCCCGACTACACAGTGGCCAGGAAGACCTATTTGATGGTCATCAGACTGAAAATGCGATATTTGATGGGCTCACTTCTCCTGTAGGCAGACACGGTGAGGACAGCCTGGCTGAGAAAGGCAGCGGGGAGGGTGTCGCTGGGCTTATGCTGGTTAACAAAGGTTTGTTTATTTGAATTTTTTTATGGATCTCCAGAACTGCTTGTCATTCATTGCGTAAATACGTTCCAGGCCCTCCAAGCCTGTTTCAGTTTCTATAAGTTTCTTAAGTGTTATGTTTTTTTATGTTTGGATGTCCAATCCTTCTCTTCGTGTCAGGGTTCCAAAGTAGAAGCCTACTAGCTGGTTCTTTGCTACGTCCAACATGACCGGCCAAGCTTAGTTGTCGACATTGAACTACTGTAGTGACATTTGGTAACGCTCCGTATAGTAGAATGTTTCCACCATGGTGTATTGAAAACTACTCGCAGCATCTTTGTTTGGTTTTCTGGAGCGTGACATATTCATAACCCATGATTCTGACCCATACAAAAGAATTTTCCTTGATGTGTTGACAAAGGCAGCAGGAACGACCCAGTGTTTGTGGTGATGCCCACGGCTGCGGAACAGTCCGATCTCAGCCCACAGCCGACACGGACGTCTTCCAGGAAAAGGAAAATGCCGCAGAAGTACGACCCGTCCGTGTTCGACACCGAGGTGGGTGCAGGAAATTTTGAATTTGTTGTTAGAGATTGCGTTTCTATACTTACTTATTTGCTTGTATTTCTATAGTCAGTATTAAATTGAAGAAGTGGGGTGTAGCTCTCCGCAAACATGGGATATCCATTTAGTATCCTATCCAAGGGACGTCCCTAACCACAAAGTTGAGTGATGAAATCAGTGTAACTGTAAGACTGCCTTTCCCAAGGGCATAACATCAGTGCTACTCTCAAAGCAGAGGTTTGGGCTGTGGCTTATTTTTGGCATGTTTGGCTTTCTCTTTTGTACTGGTATCGTTTTGGGGAGGCCGGCATGTTGGTGGATTCAAATCCAGGACCTATGGGTTCTGGCTCAAACACCAAACCATTACGCCACACATGTAGGCATTATGCCACACGATCCCACCAACTGAGTGCATCTTTTGTCCTAAAAAATTTCTAGGAAGTCTGGCAGGATGTGGGTGACATTGGGATGTCCCCAGGACTGCAGGAAGAAGACAACAGCCTGGGGGAGACCAACAAGCGACTGCGGCGGCTGGTGAGCGAGCAGCGCGACGTTCACCTGTCTGAACTTCTGCAGCTCCACGAGGAGAACAAGTACCTACAGGAGGAGGTCATGCAGGTCAAACAGGTGAGATGCATCAGAAATCTGGCACTTTTCATATTTTCCCTCTCTTGGATACTTTATTCCTCCATTAGCTTCGTACACATTTGTCTACAAAGCTATTCTTCCTGGAGACAGAACAAAACAAAACTCCTTACAAATATACACATACAAGTAGCTCCTCCTGGAAATTGATTTTGATTTTATATCATCCTGGAACTCAAACTGTTCCAGAATGAGATTGAGTTATACCGGCTATACTGATAGAGATACAGAGCATTTCTCTTTTCATGCAATGCCTTCGGGATTTAAAGAATGCTGCGCTGCATTTTGTAACAGTTTTGAAACTCCTCCTTTACTGCTCCCCTAGATGCAGGATTTCCGAGAGGAGAACAAGCGTCTGAAGAAGCTGGTCGGTCAGCAGAGAGACGTGCACCTGCTGGAGCTGCAGCAGCTCAAGGAGGAGCTTCAGCAGATAAAACAGGTCAGGCCACACCAATTTAATTTCTTGGTTAACGGATTTTTCAAGAAAAATACTGGAGCGGGCGGGCGAAAAAATAATAAAAATAAAAACAGGCCTAGGCATCCTATTATGGCCAAAATCGTACGATAGGAGCAATGAAGTCAACATACCAGGCTGGTTCAAAATTTAAGCAAAGAATTTTTAACTTTTAATGATACCACTGCATTGAAAGATGGAATAACTTTAACAACTAGGATGAAAATGACTGTTTTCAACTGTTCAGGGCAAAATATGAGCATTTTGCAGTTGATTCTGAATTTTTATTTTTATTTGCAAATCAGAAAAAAATGAAGCGGCGAATCCGTTAACCAAGAAATTAAATTGGTGTGGCCTCAGCTAGCTCTTTCTATTTCTTACTGTGTGGCCCAAGGGCTACAATATAATGGTTGCAGGAGGGCTTTAACTAACTATTTCTTTGTAATAAAAGGTAGTGTCCGTAGTTCAGTGGTTAGCAAGCCTGCCTCTGGACCAAGAGGTTGGGAGTTTGAATCCCGGCTGTTGTCGCTCACCCGACATGCACCCTACTGAAAAGGGTTGTAGTCATTAGGACAATGGACAGTACTAATGCTATGGACAGTACCCATCCTAATGACTACAACCACTGGTCTAGTGGAAGAATAGCTCTTCTGTGATCCTTTTTTTTAATACTGAAGACTTTTATTGATCACAAAAGCAGTAGCTTTGTTTAACAGATTTCTCGGTTTAGTGTATTCTCATTTCTTAGTTTGTTAATGCTTGACTTGATTAAAAGTTGATTTGATTATTGATGATTTTGTGCTCCTGCAGGCTTGGCAAGCAGAGGTAAGAGAGAAGAACGAAATCATCAAGAAGCTGAAAACCGCAGCCTTCTGCCTCGATCTCATCAAAGACGACGTCAACCTGTTCAACTTCTACACCGGATTTCAGAACTATGACATCTTCAAGGCCCTCGCAGACTACCTGCGGCCGCATTCCAACAGCATCTACCACCAGTCAGATGACAAGAACTCTCCCCCCAAACCCTGTCGCAGTCGTAGCCTGTCGTTTGACGAGGAACTGTTCATGGTGTGTGTGCGGCTGAAGGCTGGTCTCCTCACACAGGATATTTCACACAGGTTTAACATCAGCGCAGGGACGTGTTCAAGAATATTCAGACACTGGCTTCCGTTCCTGAAGGAGCGTTTGCAGGAGTTGTACGGTACCGAGACGCCGCCGCTGCACAGCGTACAAGCCATGAAGACTAAGGTGTACCACATATTTGACGGCGGGCTGCCACAGATGTTAGAGGACATGGAAGAGACGCTTCACGACGTCTGTGCGTTCCTGTCGTCTTTTGACACGTCCCTTGTTCACTGCCACCATGTCGCAGACAACAACACTGCTCACGAGGAAGACTCTCCTACCCAAAGTGCATTAGAGGAAACATGAGTTCCTGTCAAGTATTTTGAACTTGGGCCTTGCAATAAGTAGTATTGAATATATATTGTGATTATTATGTACATTGTAAAGTTGGTATGATGTTAGTTTTAATGTGACACAAAGGTGCATCATGACAAATGTATGTGCCTAGCTGTGCTGTTCACTGTTTAAAACTGAGGAAATACCAATTGCTTTATACTATTTGTTTTCTTCTGTTGTACATTTTCTATAGCTGTACACATGTATTTAAATGTATGACAGTAATGAAAGTTGGTGGCAGATGTGCTCTGGAAATAGCCTTGATGCCTGCACATTAGACAACGGTTGTCACTGACAGCAGGAAAAAGTCACTCTTGTCAACACCACAAATAAAAATACCACAGAAAAAAAAAATCTACATGTTTCATACAACACATTTCATAGTAGAGTTCCAGCTGAAAAAGGATCCTTACTAGAAGACATATCATCATTCAACTTGTAGTACAACTGTTGTGAAAAGCATGGTTTCATCACTTGTATTTACTCTTTTGAAGAACACTACTAGAATCATTGATGTACTCAAGTTGTTTGTTGTAACGGACCCAGTTATAAAATGAAAACACATTCCTCCTCCTCTGGAAGTTTATGATGAAACTAAGAGTGAGACTGTTTGTAGACCATTGTATATTATGTATATCAAGAAGCATTATAGTCATAGATTCATACTGTAAATGTTATATGTTAGGTACCTTCAGTATGATATGTAGAATACAGAGAAAATGTTAGACATCACAATTGTTGGCAATACCGGTAGTTATGTACAGTTACTTTAAAGTCTCATTGCTTATCTGCAAGCATCACTTGGTTCAGATAAACTGACCAAATGTAGACTCTCAAGCTGTAGAAGTTAAGCTGGTCAGAGACACTCTGTACTAACCGTTATGTTGTCTTATGTTGATATGAGTAAAAGTTCATGTATACTGTATAGTATTCTAAATATTTACACCATTGTTTAATGATATGGTTCCTTATGGTTGACAAAATATGTCAGCTTGTGCAATTCCATTGATGAAACTGTAAAATGTGCCTCAGAAGTAAAAAGGTAAAGAAACACAAAAGAAAGTCTGGTGCTTTTTTGTACTAGTATTGTTTTTATGCCAGCCAAATGGATACTGTCCTGCCAAGATGATAGTCTTGTAGGCACCAAAAGATCAGCTTGTAGATTAACGTATGGTGGCAAAATTTTCATAGCAAATTATTTTACCAGCTTGGATAAATTTTACTACTTTTCAGGCAGCATTGTCAGTATGGTGGAGACTAGTCTGTTCGGTACAAATTTGGTGGCAGCCAAAAGGTGCCCTGCCTGGGAACAGTCTAACCAAGGTGCTTGCAGGGTTAACACAGAGAAGGATCCAAAAGAAAGAAGGCATTGTTTCATGAATCAACCATTACTGTATTGTTGTCTGTTTGACACCATTTTCCCTGGGGACAGTTCAGTTGGCATGTCACATGTGTCGCTTATTTGACAGCCTGACATGTGAATGACCTATGTAACTTTCATTTTAGAAAGGGATAAGACGAAAACGCCAGTAAAAGACAACAGTAAAGAATCTCCTTTTCTTCCTGTTGTTTCCCTCTTCTTCTCCCTCTTGCCTTTTCTCTGATTTATTGATATGTATGCTAGCCTCATGAGCACACTTTCTAGCTGCCTGTATTTGTTTCTACAAGCATGACTAGAGTATGGCAGTTTTTTTTTTCTTTTTAGTGTATATGTGTGTGTGTGTGTGGGTAGCTGTTTCTCCCCAAAAGAAACTGCCGCTGCCCACAAGAAAGTCTGTGTATGAGGCTAGTATGTACATGGTTGGATGCTGATCTACTCATGGAAAAGGAGAGGGTTGGGGGAATCTTACCTGACCACCTCCTTCGTGTGTTTCTCCATCTCCATACTGGAAGAGACAAACTTGGTTAACTGAGTAACTGACACAAAAGATACATTATACAACAAAACTGTTGAACAACAGAACAGTTTTTGCTGTGAATTTATTTGGCATAAGAAACTAGTATCATGCAGCATGCTGTTTGGAGAGACCATTTTATGGCTGTTGATAACTTGCACAAAATATTTCTTTGACATGCAAGGAACTAGTAACTCTTAAATGGTCTTTTTTTCTGCAAAACTACGAAAATTCTGCATGACAGTATAACCTACCCCCAGAGCCCAGCCTTGCCCTTTGAACTTTGGCCCCCCGATGAACCTGTAGTGTTCCTTCTCCTTCTTCTCCAGTTCTGCTGCCTCCTTTGGTTTCAGAATTCTCTCAGCGTAATCACTAGCCTAAACAAGACATTAATGAATGATTTTAAGCTTTACCTGATTCTAAAAATAAAAAAGTTGCATTGTGGATCAAGTGCCTATTACCTTTCCAGACTCAGCGACTTTTGTAATGTGTTCTTTCCTTTGATAACACCTAATTTTCTTGCATATTTTCATATGAGTATTATCAGTACCATTTCAAGTTGTGCTGTCAAATCTAAACCCAAGAAGTACAGTGTATATACATCCTACAAAGTAAGAAAACATCTAAGCACATACCCATACTAAGTTGTCTGTCATCAGATAAATCTTAGTAAGACAACTTCAGCTATTAGATATTGCTATAGCTATCTCTCAGGCTATGCAATTAAAAAAACTATTGGGAATTGTTATCAGTAATTTATGAAAGCCATACTTAAAATAGATTAGTCCCAGTGGAATACAGACAGTGAAATTTGGCTGCAATTCATGAAATGTCAGACGTCTGCTTTCTCACGAAACTTTAAAATCTGATTACATACAAAGTGATTCCGAATCTGTATAGACAGTATAACTGCCCTTTGGTGTGAAACATCAGCTTTGCAGGCACATGACAGCAACTGGATATAGATTTGTATTCCACTAAGTGGATATTTTATAACCAGCTTGCTTCACTAAAAGCACAAGTCTAGTGTAAAACTGTTTTTCTTACCTTGGCTTCGTGGTCCTTTTGTACTCTCTCACGGGCTTCTTGCAGTCTTTGCTGTAAAACAGCCTCATCTTCCTCTGTAATTTAAGGCAATTTATACTATTGGAAATTAGTGGTACTGTACACAGAAAAACAAACTTATATAAAAACCATGCTAAATCAAAGTTCAAGGTTCAGACCAATGATAATCTGATGACACTAATTCACAAAATACACCTAAAGCATGTAACAGTGGGGGTTTATAGTTGCAAACCCCCCACTGTTACAAGCAGAAGAATCTCTAGCCAAAAGGAGAAAACAGAAGCTGAACCATGGTACCAATGAAACAAAGGTATACCTTTCCCATACATACAGATTAAGAGACAATAGTTGCTATCTGAATCAAGATTGGCCACTACTGACAACAATTTCCAACACAAATTGAATTACTAGTACCCATTTTTTTAAATGAGGAACTCCAGTCTTTAATAACAAAATACATTGTAACATCTTTATTGAGACTGTCTTTTACCAACACAGATGATCTTTCAAGCTAAGTTTCTCAAAGCCAAGTCTCAAAGTTTCTCTTATTACCTCGTTGAGGAGGCGTTTCTGGGTGCCTCTTGAACAGCGCAGCTATCCTGTTCCATGACAAGTGGACAGCAGCTGTCAGGATTCCCAGCAGGAACAGCCCTCGAGCAGCTGTCTGCAGCATGTCAAGGTTAGCTGGAGCGGGGATATGATAGCAAAAACTACGGTAAGTTTTTAATCTACATCTATTTCTCATCTTTTTCATACTGGGCCAACCCCCATATATGGGGCATCCCGCCAAGGCCAAGGGTTTTGACATGTGGCCAGTGGGGTGAGGGTGCTCCGTAAAGTTTAAAAAAAAAGAGAGAGAGAAAGGTGAAGTGATAGTGCATACGTATGAAACTTGAAGGAACAGTATGAACAATTGCATTAAGAAGGGGGCGTGGTGTCAGTGGTAGCTTTATGTTTTTACCAGTTAGTCTATCAAAGTATGTTGACGAATATAGCGTGATCGGAAGAAAGGAAACGTCTGCAGCATAGAATGTTTGTAAACTATGTGTAACATTTCAGTAATAGGATTCACATGTAAAAACCGAAAGGGGCGAGCAGGTCACAACCGGGAATCGAACCCGAGTTGTCCGCTTGGCGGTCACCAACGCTAACCACTACACTAAAAGGTCGCACGACCATTTAGCATGGTCAGTTAGCACTGTTACACTACTCCCCCTTTTCTTTCAAGATTCGTCCTCGAATCTTCCG